AAATTTTTTAAAGATTTTAAAAATCATAGATATAAAAGGATCTACAAAACTCAAAACTACATTTTAAGACGAATTCACACTTTGATTATTTTGAAAGGATTAGAAAGTCATGAGAACACCAGTGTTTACAACAGTGTTGGACCTTGAGAAACAGCTGATAGCCATTCAGAAGCCAGATTATTTATTTGGGTATGCCTCACCACAACTTCAAAGACTATTTTAATTCATGGTGTATCAAGAAATGCAGAATATCTTCCTGGAACCAGAAAAGCTTCTCTTGAAAGATAAGGGATTATATTTGTTCCTTTTTATACCTGTATCATTTCACACCAGAAATCAGTGTAAACTTAAGGGGCGAGGGGAGCGGCAGCACGGGGAGCACAATATAGTTAATTCAAATGCTTGAAGCTCCATCACCTACAGTTTCACATTTGTATCATCCATCCACATTTCATACTACACATTCCTTATGCATCTGGCATTCTGGTCACATTCCTTATGCATCTGGCATTCTGGTCTATGGATTGAACCCTTTAGGTTTTCTGCAATGTGGAGATAATATACGGCAACATTCAACCGGTGCACAGCAATCATATAAAATCTAGAAGAAGTTACAGAAGAAATGTCACAGTTTAACTAAAGAACATAAATGAAGGGCTATTTATATACCTCATTATTTCTGGGCTTTCTTATACAACCCAGATTTAAATTTGGGAACTAAGCATTTAAGCTTGGGAGCAGTGAACAGAATCTAGGTGCACCGACCAGAATCTGGGGTCTGTCCCTGCAGCTGTGCTCCCAGTCCCAAGGCTGCAGACACACACTCCATCTTCCTCTTCGGATCCCTCTGATATTTGCATGTCTGGTTCCACAGTGACGTAACTTCCAGGCCTTATAGTGGGCTGTTCTTTCAGTGGGCACCAACCACTCCTCAGGAGAACAACAACGATTTGAGGCCCTTGCCAGCTAAAAGAGGCCAGGAACACAGATTTCCCACTCCGTTGAAGTACGGCAACCAGGAAAGACATGCAGAGCAACACTAGCACCACTTCATCTTTTCCAGTGATGTTCTAGAGTGTCATCTCCAGCTAGGCAACGCACTTGGAAAATGATTCCAGTTTTGGTTTTTCTAACTGTTTACCTAGGGGCCCATAACTTCTTCACTCCCACTTCCTAGAATGAGTCTGTAGGAGCAGACTTTGACCTTTTCAGGAATTTACTTGGAAGAATCCCATGTGATACAGTCTTGATGAGAAGAGTGACCCAGGAGAGCTGGCTGATTTTCAAGGATCACCTCCTGCAAGTTCAAGCCAAGCAAATGTGGCAGGAAAGCCTGTATGGATGAACATGGAACTCCATACAAAACTCAAATACAAAAAGAAAGCATACATGGGGTAGAAGTAGGGTGACCAAGATGATGCAAGAGGAATACAGACACACTGTATAAGTACATAGGAATGGGGTTGGGAAAGCCTAACTCTACCAGGAATTGAATCTGGGGAGGGATGTAAAAGGCAACAAGAAGGGCTTTCTGCAAGTGTATCAGCAGCAAATATAATGCTCAACAATGTAGTGGGGCCCTTTCCAAAGTACTTGTCTATAATTCCAGTCTCTGTAACAAAAAAAAAAAACAAACAAAAATAATCATACTTAAGAAACAGATACAGAGGAGAGCTACTGATGAGCTCCTGTATCTTGCAAGGAAGACAAATCTTGCAGAGTTTAAAATAGCAAAAGTGACAGAGATCATAAATAAATGCTCTATGAATATTTAGGGAGGTAAGCATCATAGAGAGAGAACAAGACACTAAAGGACCATCAGCAGCAAAAAGAAAACTAGGCAAAACTTCAGTCTACTGTTGAATGGGATGGTGGACCTGGTGACAAAGGACATGAAAAAGGTTGAGGCACTCAAAATCTTCTTCACCTTGGTCTTTACTGACAAGATTCCATTCCCTCATTAGGAATCCCAGGCCCCTGAGACTTGTGGGAAAGCCTAGAAAAACAACAAAAAATTTCCCTTGGTAGAATAGGACTGGGTTAAGGAATGTTTAAACCAACTGAACATACTCAAGCCCATGGGGCCTTATGGGATCCATCCACAGGTGCTGAGATCCTTCCACACAGAATGGGTGATAAATAATTAAGCACATTTCGCCATGATCTGCAAACACCCCTTTTTAATTTTACACTTTCGAGGAAAAAAAACAGAACTGAAGTCATATCAATTTATCAACATTATCATAAAAATCACATATACTAAGAATTCCTAAATATCTGTTCTTTATACCCTACCACAATATCTCTCTCAAAACTCCATTATATCTAAGATTCTCCAAACAATGTGTGTTGCAAATGTTTTGTCAGTCAGTGATGGACAGTTCTTCTGGAAAAAGCATGAAAGAAAAAAAGAATTGGGTTTTTTTTCTTCAGTGTTTTGGGTTTTTTGGTGTTTTTTTGTTTGTTTTTTAAGGGGAACATAAGTTCTGGCGTCCATCATTTCTTTCTGCTAGTCATTTCTACTTTTCAATAGCCCTCAGAAGATTATTTTGCCTCATCCCATATTCTAATTAAAGTCTGCACAAAACACATGCTTAGAATTCACAGGTACTCCATTTGTAATAACTATATACTTCTAAAATCAAGCCATTATTTCAAGCCTTTATTAGTAAGAAATTACTGTCTTCTTCCTTTGAGGCACCTGCATTAAGATTCAAAGGAAAAACCAAAACCAACATATGACAGTACTGCTGCAGCTCTTACTCAATAAAAACTACAGGGATTCTGCTTCCCTAGAGAGCCTCAGGGCTACCAATTACTGGAGGAGTTGCCCAGAGAAGCTGTGGAAGCCCCTCCCTGGAAGTGTTTAAGGCCAGGCTGGATGAGGCTTGGAGCAACCTGGTGTAGTGGAAGGTGTCCTTGCTCATGGCAGGGGGGTTGGAACTAGATGATCTCTAAGGTCCCTTACAACCCAAACCATTCTAGAACTCTATGATTCTATGAATTACACAAATAGTTAAGTCTTATATTCTCTCATTTGAGGAATTTCATTGATAATTTATATAATCTGGGTAATCTATCTACCCAATTGCTGTTAAACTTACTTAAAGGTTGCTTAGTATTTCTACTTCAGCTTCCTACATATTTTTCTTTTAAATATAAGTCTTCCAGAGGTAAATTATTTCATATTTCATTCACTCAAAAACTAGTAATCTACACAAGCTTTCCAGAAAAAGCAGCAGCTTTTTAAAAGGAAAAAGAAAAAAAAAAAAACAAAAAAACCCAAAACACCACATTGTGGTTCAACATTGGGAATTTTTTTCCCTGTAAGCATTCTGAAGTGTTTAGATCAAAAATAAGTTTTCTATTTTCAGTTTAGAATTCAAAAAGCAGACCCAAATTATGTAAGCATATCAGTGCACACACTTATTAGAAGTCCAGCTTGCATTTAAAGTGGTACTTGCATACAGAGACAGGAATGAAGAATTGTTTTATTCTACATGGAAAACGAAACTGTTGAAAGCAAAACTGCAGGTGTTAGCAGACCTACACTAAGCTGCAGAGTCAGGTTTAGCCTGCATCAATTGCACTGTCCACAAGAGAGGGGGGGGAAAGGTGACTGTGCTGACTCCTCCTTATACTCTAATAACCAGTTCTCTCTCTCACAGCCATAGGAAACAAGACACTTGTATTGCAGTTCCCATGCCAGTTTTTAACTGAAATAGAATAACCTTAAAAGAAAACAGATTTGTTTCCTCACAGGCTGTACCTATAACCCTTTCCTTCAGATTATGGAAACCCATCTTTAACCTCAACCTCTGAATTAGGCAGGGAAAGATTTGAACCATAATCCTTCACACCAAAAACAAGTGTGTTAAATACAACAGTTAGTCCACATGTATCATCTTTGTAACGCAGCTCTGTACTTTTCAATAGATGGAATGAAACCCGCTCATTAGTGTGAAACAGTCAAAATAAATTCTTTCTCCTTCCTTGCCAAATTTTGCCAAAGTCCCAAGGAAGAATATCTTTGGATTTGGATCAACTCTGAAACCTTCTATTTCTTAGTTTGGTAACTACTATTTTTTGTGGAAAAAAAAAAAAATCCATTATTTTGACATTTCTGTATGTAAGCCAAACAACTTCACATACAAATTGGCAATCTGCATACCCGCTCACACTCACAGATCACCAATTCAGCATGGCTTCAAACTCTGCTTTTAAAGTTAAAACCTTATGTTTTCTAATGATGCATATGGTATTATACCATTGATTAATTATCTTTCATTTTCAGCTCTTGCATAGGAGCTTTGCATTTTATCTGCAGTGAGAATGTGAGAAGACCTAAACTGGACATTGGAACAAGAGATTTCTCCCCATCTAAAGGTGCATCTTAGTTACTAGGCTGTAAAAACTAACTTCAGCTTGTTCGCTTTCATCTTGACCCCATGAATCTCATGGGCCCATAAAGTGACAAAGCGACTAACAGCGAAGGGAACAGACAGAAGTTCTTAACTTTTAGGAGCTAGAACTCCTCTACAGGATTTAGACATTAGTATTTATACAATGAGAGCCTGGATGCCACCTGTAATCTCAAAGCTCTGTATCATTTTCCCCCTGCCAGCAACAAAATAAATAATCATCATTGAATAATCTGAACATTAAGACATTTTGCCTTATCTCTTGCATGACACAAGCCATAAGATTTCATTACATTATTTTTGCTCTATATCCAATAGCAACAGTTGACTAAACATCTTCTGGAGAGGCACAGGGCAACGTTGAGTCAGGACTCCACATAGTCACATTTTTACTGAAGGCCAGGGTTGAAGCCTGCAGAAATCTACTCAGTAGAACAGACCCTCTGAAATGAGGCTCTATGCCTGTATGACAAAGCAGCACAGCTGGTTCTGCAAACTCCACTTTGAATGAGACTAGCATTTACATTTCTACAAAAGGTTTCAAACAACTTTTAGAAGACAGGTTCCATTTGTACTTACAGAAGCCGCACCTGGTACCTCCTTCAAAGATGAATCCATTTGGGACAGCTCCATATCGACGCAGATCTGAGAGCTTCCATTGCCCCATGACACTAGGAGGAAGGTCTTTTACAAGGACGAGAATGTCATTGCAGAAATGCAGGGTAGCAGGCCCACTCTCTAGTTTAGTGCCAGGTGCTACAAAAACTTGAAATCTATGAACTATCAGATAAGGAAGAAAAAAATAAATTACTGTAGAAAATAGAATTAAGGTACCATGACTTATGTAACATAAGCCATCCTGTTCAGCTGTGGTATGTGGACCCACCCCCACCCACACCATGAGGCTCCAGCATAAAGAATCAAACTAGAGCCCAGACAGCCCCATGTGAGTAGCTCTAAGCTCATTACTTTCTAACATGCCAGTTTATGATTGGAAAAAACACATCTTGGCTTAATGCTACAAATGATTAAGTTGTAACACTATATTAATTTATCCTAAATCTTCCAGGCTACTCCCTGTCTCAAATTAGTCAGTTATCCAGCCTACACTTCAGTCCTACCTCTTCCATCCCTGCATCACTATGTGGGTTGCTTTTGTCTCCTCCATTAAACAGTCTGTGCCTCTCCTTTCCTAGTTGCATGCATAACACACACATAACGCAGTGCCCAAGGAGCTCAAAAGCCAAGGTTCAAGTAGGCAAGTTCTAACCAGAGCTCTGCCACTGACTCATTTGCAACCTTTCATCAACTGCTTCACTCCTTCCCCAGCAGTAAAATAGAGAAAATTCTTTTTCCCACCTTTGTGAATCTTTTGGGAGTTCATGATGGTAGATGTCCAGACATTTAAAATGACTAGGAAATTAAGTGATATATAGGTAATAAACACTCTTACATGTCAGTTAATTCTTCATAAGTCACAGCCTAAACCTTCAAAAGAGTGGGGGGAAAAAAGGAAACCCCTTGTGTCATTCAAGTCCACAAAATTCAGGTTCAAATCCCAACACTACTATTCCAAATACTGCAAAGGTCCATACCTAAAGTAGCAGCTGTTCTAGGCCAGTCCCCACGTTCTTCTCCAGAGCCGCTGCATTCTGAATAATAAGCTATTGGGACCATTTCAAGGGCTCAATTCTCACAGTGTTTCAAAGTGAGCAGTTTAAATGAGCAAGTACCCAATTTGCAAACTGTTTTGACCACCACTGCTTCTCTAGTTCCTTTCATCTTGTGATTAGACACAGAATTTTTTATTTTTTTTTTAAATCTCTCTTGGCACAGAGAAGCATCAGGACTGTTACATTTCCAGTCAGAGGTTTTTGGAGGAGCATTTATCAAGAGGCACATAGACTTATCTTTTGGTTATCCATCAAAGATCATATAAACATCTACCTGCCTATGAAATCTACAGGGTAACTTCCAGCTAGTCTCACTTCTTACAAATGTTCTTTCCTGTTTCTTGCCTATGCTTCTTCAAGCATCGTGAATTTCAGCTAGGTCTGAGTCTTGCTTCTCATCTAAATACTTGCTATATTCGTAGTTACCATCTTAGCTGTAAGTCAACTCCTCATCTGTGACGTGTACTTGGTAAGTTCTCTAAAGCTTCAGCAGAATTAGCCACAAAGTCATTGGAGTGAAATGTACAAGGAGACAGAGATAGATCTAACTAACCACAGCTCTACTTACAGCTTTGCCAGTAGTGCTGCTAGGGAGCAAATCAATAGTCACACGATGTCCCCTTTTGGGCACACAGTTGTTACACAACCTGCTTAAACATAAACTATGAAAAAGATACCAAAACCATCTTAATGAATAATGTTCAGTAAGGAATCTTTAATATTTGGATCCCTCTGCCCAGTTAACTTTGCTCAGTACTTTGCTGGCAATTAAACCATTGCAGCAGAAGCATCAGGGTACTTTCTGCCTCGTAAATGAGGAACAGATCACACTCTGTGCAATCAGTGGCAAGTTACAACAGCTGCTGAAAACAAAGAGCTGTAGCTCAGATTCTACACTGTTAAAAAACAAACAAACAAACAAACAAACAAAAAAAGTGTATCCAAATCTGAAGACAAAGTAGAAGAAAAAGCAGATCTGGACACAAAGATTTTGCCATATGCTGCTTTCTTTGTAAACTGTAATTTATTTTTTTTTCCAAATGTTTCTACTGCTCCTACTCTGAAAAAAAATATTAATAAGCTGAATACACTCATGAACAAAAGGTACTGTTTAAGTTCCTTATTTCCTTCAGGTAATCTTCTCTTCACAGCTATTCATTGAACTGCAATATGCTAACCTCCTCAGAATGAGCTATGGGCTCAAGCACTCTTCTCACACTAGACTTATACCTCAATTCGCTTGATTCCACTGTTTTCTCTAATTTTTGTTCTTTTATTCCAGGAATCACATCCACCTAATTTGTTAAAAACAGAGAGAAAACACTAGGAACTCCAGTGCAATTACCTCCATTCTGTAGTCATTCGAAAACATCATCAACTCCTTTCACTTTTTTTTTTTTTTTTTTGCTTCCCAGACTCTGAGGTCATCTGTCCTTAGTCTATTTTTACCATCCAGCCACCTTACTTCCAAGGCACATAAAGGCATCCTTACTACACTTTAAAAAAACCCACTAGTCTCCAACCTCTCTTCATGTAAGTCTCCACTCTTTTATATTTCTGCCTAGCCAAACTACATAGTCTTTAATTTGGCTTCTTTCTCCTAACTGAACCTGCACTGAAAGATAAAACGCTGAATAAATTTTCTATACTCTGGTCTATCCGCCATCCCCTGAGTTTTTTTGCAATTAACATTCTACAAATTATTGCCAGTTCAACTAATTATACTTGTTCTCGTCTTCATTTCTTCACCTCCACACACACTCTCTCCCTCTCCATCCTTACTCCATACAGCTGCATACATCTCCATCCAATAGGTTCTATTCTGATCTCACTTACAGCTTTCCCTTAAAAAAAAAAAAAAACAACTCTTTGCTGCTTCTGCATATCCTCCTATCATGAACAGAACCCCCACACCCAGACTGAGGTTAAATGCTCTCTCTATCCCAGCACTCCATCAGTGCAAGATCATGAAAACCAGACCTACCCTGTCAAATACAAATTCTCTTTCAGTTTTTAGAACAAGTCCATGCTGTACATAGATCCCAAATTTAGTGATGAAATAGAACCAGAGCACAATACAGCTACCTCAAAGTGTACCAGCTACTCATGCCTCTATTGTTCAGGATCCCACTCTAACCTTTCCCCTTATGCAAGGTTTCACATTTGATAGCTCCAAGTGGTACATCCATACATCTCTCTTCTGATACTTCTACATTTTATTACTGTAAAATTCCCAGGCCATCTCTCTGTGTACGTACTGCAAAGGAACAAGTCCACAAATGCAACAGATGGCAAAGCATATGTAACAAATTATTAAGACGGCTAATATGTGTCTCCCACACACCTACCCTCATTCTCTAGTTATGACTAAAGAAACATAAGACAGATACTATGGATTACCAATATTATCACTCCTTGTTCACCACTGTACATGTCAGAGCTGCTAACGAAGAAAATAAAGTAAAAGGATGTATAAGAGTGAAGTTAGCTGGAAAGCCTATGTCTGATGACACTCCTTATTGCAAGATGTTTCTTCCTGAAAGGGGACACTAGCAGCAATAAGCATTATCAATGTAACACCTAGTAGGCAGCTCAGAAAACTGGGATTGAACTGGCCAAGTTCTAATTGGGACCTTGCTTCTCTTAATTCAGCCTCCCTCTGAATGTTGTTAAAATCCCCATGTAAATTGCAGGACCAGAAGTAGAAGTCTGATGACTTTGCTTCAAAGCTACACAGTTCCAAAAACAAAAACAAAGTTAAAAGCTATTGGGCAGTACTGTAATCAAAACCTACTATAAGGGACATCTGCTTTAAGGTGTAAGAGGAAAATCAATCTCTTCACTCTTAAATGAGTTACAGTCTTTTCCTTAACTGTCTTTTGTTATTGGCATTTTAGCTATGGTCTTCTGTGCTTTTTCCTCCCCTTGGAAAAAAAAAACGTGAGAAGACAAAGGTTACCTTCCCCCAAACTGTAGCGGATTCGCACATCCCACGCATACATTGTTTCCTTGTTCTCAAATCCCAGCATCACAACTTGGGAGAGACAGATGATTGCAAGTGTGTGATTCAAGCCCTCATAGGAGAGCCCAGGATCCAAGCCACAGATGTCTTCTAAGGTCACGCTGCTCCTCTCCTTGTGCCCTTTCGCTCGTTCAGATTTATCCTTGTACACCAGCATGAGCAAGCAGTCTAAAAGAAGCAAAACTGTCAGAGATTATGAGGCAGAACATAACACAACACATTTCTCAGTACTCTACTTCGATGCAAAGGTGCTTTAGACAACTGATCAAGTTAATGTAAGAACTCAGTTTCCTTTTCTCACCCCTAGTTAGTTTGCAGTCCTTGTTTTCAGGGAGCAAACACTGAAGGCATGTTTCAAGGGTAATCTGCAGCAATAAGGAGGCAAGTGAAAGTCTTCCCTATTTTACTTTTCAAAAATCCAGTGGTTTTTCAGATACTCCCCCAATTCTGGAAGGGACTGACTCATTAATTCTGAACATTAGGAGTTACACTACGATAGCTGTTCCCATTACAGACACTAAAGACCGAGGGGCTATTGTCATCTATATTTCCATTAGAACATACTGAACCACAAATGAAATTCTTACAGTGGTTCACAGATTACTCAACTCCTAAATGGTGAGCAGACTGCGCTGCCAGATTGTTAGTGTCAGCTCAGGTTTCCTAGTTAAATGTGACACAGTAGCCATTGCTAAATAACCATTATGTGCCACACCTTCTTTTTTTTTTTAATATTTGCTTATGTCACTATTTGTTTTTAACCCCTTCCTAGAGGTGTTTATTACACAGTACCTATGCAACAGAAGTAATTCAAATGCCACGGTCCCATGGGAAAAGCACATGTCACAAGCAAACCCTAAAGACAAGAAAAAAGAGAGGGAGAGACCTCTCCTACTTTTTACATTGATAACAAGAGCACTCTTCTTCCCCCAGGTTGCCTTCCAACCACATAGCACTCAGTTGTAAATGAAATTAATGGTCAATATCAAAGCTGCAGCATCCCCAGCTGAAGCTGGCCTACATACCACAGAGAAGAAAGCCCCCTCTGCACCATTTTATGAATGTTGGGGTATGTTGCTCCGAGCCCTGGCGAGGTGCCCTGCGGCTCTTCAGCTGGGCAAAGGACTGGCAAACCTCCAAAGAGGTGAAAAATGACTGAAAGACTGAACCCTTTGCTAACTAAAGAAGAGCTTTGCATGAACTCACAATTGGTTTTGTGCACCTGTTAGCAAAAGCAGCTGCAACTATGATATTTAAGGATTCTGCAATACAGTTGTGTGTCTGAAGAAAGAACAACTACAGTTTACAGACCAAGAGAAGGAAATCACTGCAGGGCTTTTTCTGGTAAACTTGGCTAATTTCACTAGAATAAAAACCCTATTTTTGAGGAACAAGCTACATAATCAGTCAGTAAGTTTCCAAAGCAAGCTTCCTCATCTTCCCCCTCCAAATTGGCTTACTCATGTTAGAAATCCAGGCCCACATTCATTTGTATGGATATCAGCTCTAGAACTGACAAATGCCCATTCACGCAGAGAAGTTTAACAGATTCAGCCACAATAAAAGGCATTTAAAACACTAACACAACTGTAAAAACCGAAGTAACAAAGACTTAGGTTGGAAGAGCTTCAACTACTAAAAAAACCCCTTCAGTCTACCAGGAGCAACCTAGAGAAGATGCCACAATCCATTCTGCAGCAATGCAGATTCATGTTTTCTAACCACAGACAACATTTAGCCCTGGAAAGGGATACTTTGGGGCCCAAAAGTTTTCCCTCTTAGGAAACAATAGGGGAACCTGAAACCTACTTTTCACTGAAACCTACTTTTCACTCTCCATCAGTAAAACGTCAACTCTGAATGAACGTTTTCAATTTCCCCATCAGAAGCATGGAAATTATATTTTTAATTCAAAACTTAATTTTATTTTTAAATTGAAGTGATATTTTATGTCAAAACACTAATCAAAAATAACTACCGAGCTTACAATGCCAGCTTTTTTTTTTTTTTTTTACAGCTACCAATCACCCTGAGGAAATTTTTTTATTATTATTTTTTTTTTTTTTTTTAAGAAAAAAAGAAATTGCATTTTAAACGGGAACCAAAACCAAACAGTTGTGCCTTGAAAAGTCACCTTTTGGTTTTAGTCAGCGCCTGATATTAAGCTACTTCAAACCGCGGCTCTGACACAGCGCCCAGGCACCGCTGGCAGCCTCGACGGACAAACGCTGCACCCGGGCACCGGCCGAAGGGTCCCGGCGCCACAGCCCGG